AAGTGTTGACCCCCAGCCCATGCTCAACCTTGCCTATTCAAATTCAGCCTTCCCGTACCCGCGGGTAACACGTACGGCCCCGTGAAATTTTTTTACGGGTAAATTAGTATCTCAGGAACCACGGAGTCTGGGAGGCTGAAATTTTAGAGTACTGACCCCCTGCCCACGCTCAACCTTGTCTATTCAAATTCAGCGATCCCTCGTGAACTATTTTTGCATAGACAAAAGTACAAAGCAGTGAAAATCATTAATAGGCAATCGTTTTCGACGGGCTGAATTGCACAAAATGCATGATCGCACCGGCTAGTCTGATGCGCGTTGTTATTTATTTTCACTTATCACGGAAAGAATGACCTTTGTATCTTTCAGACCTCAACTTCCGAGCCTCCGTGTAAAGCAACAAATCGGAGAAGCGAACCTTGAGATACATTTGCGGGTTGGTGAGTATCTGCTCGTCGATGATGTCCAGGGCTGCATGCGCAATGAACTGGTTCAGGTGCCGTGTGTCCGGTTGATCCTGGCGCTTTCGCGATTCCACTAGCGGGAACTCCATCTCGAACACCGGCTGATCGTTGTGCCCCACTATCACGAAATAGTACTCGCGGCCGGTTGCCATCCTGCTGGCGCCACGCGTTACGCCACGCTACGTTATTCTGAACAAAAAACACAGCAAATTGAAACTCCACTGAGTGGGGAGTGTGGTACGATTGAGAAATATGATTATCTTTTGTATATGAAAAATATGAAATGCATATGAAAATGTATACGAAAAAAGAAATATGAAAAACCCAGGCTGGAACGCACCAGGCTCTCCGGTGCGATCATGCGTTTTTGCACTAAACTCGCAGATCGCTATTAGCAGGAATGATCCCTATGCTGCAGCCTAACACTTAGGCTAATAATGGCCGTCTTTTGATCCTTACCGGCATGCAGGAGAAAGGGCATCAGTTGGGATGAAGAGATGGTGCATCATAGAGCCGCATGGACATCTAGGTGCATGATTACCGGTTTTTTGCATGAAGTCCGGTCGTTTTTTCAGCAAATGCTCGTTTTGTGAAAAAAATGACAAATGCAAATTTTTTGAAAAAATGCAAATTTCCAGTTCATTGAAAATTGAAAGTATTGCTCGAACGGTCGTTTGTCAAATAATACATGTTCATTTACATATACGACCGCGGTTCAGGTTCGAGTTGCTAACGATTTTTGGGTTGAGGAGCTGCTTGAGGTTGTGATTGTGGTGCTCGACAGCTAAGTTTAAAATCTTTAGCTCGCACACGCATAGAGGATATCCCTACAAAGTTTCAGCTTTCTACGTTACCTGGTTCGAGAAATCGTTCCCTGCTAACATATTTCTTTAGGGTCCCGTACGCGGGGTCTAGGCGCGCATGGGGAAAGATCTTAAAATGGGAGGATGACACACGAAGTAGGAACATATATCCAAAGTTTCAGCCTCCCAGTTTTGCTGAGATGAAAGTGGGTGATAAAATGCACTCCTTTTCCACACACACACATACAGCCTCTCGACAGTATGTGTTTTTGCTGGCTATAGCGCTGCTATAGCGCTGCACAGCAAAAACGCATAAAAAAACTGAAAAAGATGGAAAATATGAAAAAACAAAAAAATACTATGCAGATATGATGGAAAAAAGGCCAAATTCACAACTATCCGGCTTCTTCTCAACTGCAGGGGGAGTGTGTTTGTCTCGTTTTCACGATGCTTCGGCCGAGCGCTTGAACATTAGTACGTCTAGGACACTGAGGCCTTCCAGGTCTGGGTCGATGGAAGTGGACATGTGCGGGTAGAGGCGGCTGGCGGGGAGGGGGAAAAGCTTCCGGTCTACGCCTTGGCCATCCTAAATAATTACGTGAAAAACGGTGCTGTAGGGCAGGATTCCTACTGATCGCGAGCGAATTTCAGGGGATTTCACAGCTGGATTTCCGGCCCAATCATGAATCTGTTCACGGGTTTTATGACCGAACCACTAGTATAGACGGATCCAGGGCGGTCTCCTCGGTGAGGAGAGGGCAACACGGGGTATCGAACAGAGTTTTCTACAGTAAAACAGCTGTACGAGGCCTTGGAAGGGGGGCGAAAGACCTCTTCCCCCCCCCC